GACTGCCCCCCCCCAGCCCTCCTGGGGCATTGCCCTGCCTGTGGACTGATTGGTAACAGCTAATTTAGACCCATCATTTTATATGTATTGTTGAGATTATTTTTCAATGTCTCCCCATGGACTGCCCCCCCCCAGCCCTCCTGGGGCATTGCCCTGCCTGTGGACTGATTGGTAACAGCTAATTTAGACCCATCATTTTATATGTATTGTTGAGATTATTTTTCAATGTATATTTACCAACATTCAATTGATCTGCTGATTTGTTGCCTAGTCACCCAGTTTTGAGAGATCCTTTTGTAGTTCTTCTCCCTGGCCTTGGAGCTTAAGTATCTTGAGTGGGTTCGGATCATGTGCAAATTTTGCCATTTCATTGTTCAATGTATGCATAAATGATCTGGAAAAAAGCACAAACAGTACTAGTCCCAGTACAAATGCTGGGGATGGGGAGATACCATTATTTACCTTTCTCCTTTCTGAAAACTGACCATTTTTCTGCTGAAACAAAAGACAGGACTATGCAGCACTTTAAAGACTAACAAGATGATTTATTAGGTGATGAGCTTTTGGGGGCCAGACCCACTTCCTCAGATCAATATTGGAAGAAAATTGGCGTGACCATGTACAGGCAGTCCCCGCGTTACGTACAAGATAGGGACTGTAGGTTTGTTCTTAAGTTGAATTTGTATGTAAGTCGAAACTGGTACATATTGTAGGGGAAACTCTAGCCAAACATTTCTCCAGAGCTCAGTTTTATTCTCCCACACCTCACTTCCCTCAGTCCTTTATTCTCAAGCTGAGGTGTCTGCTGAGAAAAGCCGCTCCGCGTCTCCCTGGTCTGCTAGGGGGGCCGCTAGCTTCGCATCTCCCTGGTCTGCTGGGGGGAAGCAGCTAGTGCGGGGTTGCCTCACCCCGTTTGTAAGTAGGGATCCTATGTAAGTCAGATCCATGTAACCCGGGGACTGCCTGTATACCGCAGCCCTGTGAGTGAGGCAAGATGGTGGAGCTCCAATTGACAGATCAGATTTAAGAGGAGGGGTGAGGGGGGAAGGTTAGTGTCTGAGGTAATGACATTAGGGGTGATAATTGGGGAAGCTATCTTTGTAATGGGTGAGATAGTTAGCATCTTTGTTAAGACCCATACGTAAAGTGTCAAATTTAAGCATGAATGACAGTTCTGAGGCTTCTCTTTGAAGTCTGGAGTCAAAATCTCTTTGAAGCAATATGCATGTTTTAAGGTCATTGAGAGAATGGTCAGTCTGGTTAAAATGGCAAGCAACAGTTTTCTCTCTGTGAGAGAGCCTGATGTCTGTTTTATGCACATTGATTCTTTGGCGAAGTGTCTGAGAAGTTTGTCCAATATACATAGCAGATGGACACTTTAGGCACATGATGGATGAACAGGAATATGTATTCTTGATCTTGTAACTGGCATGGTTAGGTCCAATAATGGTGTCAGCTGAGTAAATATGTGTAATTTTCCAAGCATTGAGAACTCCTAATGAAAAATTTAAATTAGATTCTCATGCAAAGATTTGTCTTCTATAGAAATTTGGGTGTGCTTTAATTTGTTTTTTAAAAACATCAGTTATGGGTTGGTAATTTCCTGTCTCTGGTGGTGGTGTCTCCCGTTATTATCGCTGGGCATTACATGAAGATCATTAGAATCTTCAGGTGGATAGTGCTTTGTTTTCTAAACTATATGTTACTGTCTCTTTTTGTTTACCTTATAGTACAACATGCTGGACTTCGTGTTTGCTGTGGATGACTCTGTGTCTTGGCATATGATGAACCTTTTAAAGAATAGGAGTCATTATTCCTTCTTAAAACTTTTTGGGCCCAAGCAAATCAGTACTATACAGAGTTGCGGAGCAGGGATTTATTACAATACTTTAGTGCGATGTAATGGTCGGGTAAGTACAATAGGTTGTGACTAATTTTCATAGATCAGCATTTCTCAAACTGGGGTCTGCAAACTCCATGGAGTTCTCAGGCCTCACACATCAATTCCTCCCCCAGCCCTTCCAGGCAGACTCCCTACCTATCCCACTTCAACATGGCTCCCAAAGTGATCACCAGGTGCATGAATGGCCAGGGAGGCTCTGTGCACTGCCCTGCTTAAGTGCTGACTGCAGCTTCATTGGCTGGAAAGTATGATCAGTGGGAGTTGTAAGGGCAGTGTGCAGAGCCTCCCTATTTGCACCTCCACCTAGGGACCACAGTGACCTGGCAGCCACTTTGTGGGATTTGCAGTAAGCACCATCAGAACTGTGCATTGCCTCTTGCATCCCAAACCCCTGCCCCATCTGAGAGTCCCTTTCCACACCCAAAATCCATTCTGGAGCCTTCACCCAGACTTCATTCCCTGCCCCAAACTCCTTGTCCCCAGCCCCACCCCAGAGTTCATACCCCCAACCGGAACCTTCGCTCTCTTCCCGCATGCCAACCCCTTGCCCCAGCCTGGTGAAAGTGAGTGAGGCAAGGGGAGAACAAGCAACGGGGAAGAGGATGGGGAGATTGTGGCAGGGGTGGGGCCTCAGTGAGGCGGAAGGGCAGGTGGTCTCTGGTCTCCAAAAAATTGTAAGTCAAAGTGGGGTTCCTTGGGTTGCGAAAGTTTGAGAACCACAGTTCATAGATCAATGTTTACATCTAGAATATTGGAATTACTAACTCAGTGTAGCCTCTGCTCAGGAAATACAATTTGCAGTTTGTATTTATGTTACAAATAGTCGCTGATCCTTGACTAACACTTAAGCACTTACATAAAAACTTCAGTTCTACATTGCCTCTTCAATATTCAGTATTTCAAGCTGTTTTACAAAGTACTGCATTAACTCCTGGAAAGCAAAACAGGAGATGACATTGTGCTCAACAAAAGCAACATTTAAACACAGCAATTAAAGCACTTTTACAATAACAGCTGAACTTATATTATTTTCTCAACAATAATTTTGAAGCCATTACATCCTTCATTGTGGGAAGGAGGCAGGTATTGTCACCATTCTGCAAATGAGAAAACTCCGATGTAGATTCAAAGACTGGGCAATTAACAGAGTAGATGGGATTGTTTTAATTTTGATGTCCATACAAATATAGGACATGACATAATTGATGTTCATCTTATTTAACTTCTGATTCCCTCTCATATTAGTACTGAGTGTAATTAATAAATAATGTGCCAGTAGTGTAGTATTTATTCTGTGTCTGGTTATATTCCTATATCTATTTACAGGCAGTCCCCGGGTTACGTACAAGATAGGGACTGTAGGTTTGTTCTTAAGTTGAATCTGTATGTAAGTCTGAACTGGCGTCCAGATTCAGCCGCTGAATCTGGACACCAGTTCTGACTTACATACATATTCAACTTAAGAACCCCAGGCGTCCCTAAGTCAGCTGCTGCTGAAACTGATCAGCAGCTGATTCCAGGAAGCCCGGGGCAGAGCAACTCTGCCTCGGGCTTCCTGTAGTCA